TGTGCCCCAGCCCCCTAATCATTTTCTTTGCCCTGTGCTAGACTCTCTCCAATTTGTCCATGTCCTTTCTGTAGTGTGGGGCCCAAAACTGGATGCAATACTCCAGATGTGGCCTCACCAGTGATGAATAGAGGGGAATAATCACTTCCCTTGATCTGCTGGCAATGCTCCTACTAATGGAGCCCAATATACCGTTAACCTTCTTGTCAAGAAGGCCAGACTGCTGACTCATATCCAGCTTCTGGTCCACTGTAAGACCCAGGTTATTTCTGCAGAACTGTCGCTTAGCTAGTTGGTCCCTAGTGTGTAGCAGTGCATGGGATTCTTCTGTCCTAAGTGCAGGACTCTGCACTTGTCCCAGTTGAACCTCATCAGATTTCTTTTGGCCCAATCCTCCAAATTTGTCTAGGTCACTCTGGACCCTATCCTTACCCTCCAGCATATCTACCTCTCCCCACAGCTTAATGTCATCTGCAAACTTGCTGAGGGTGCAATCTACCCCAGTGTTGGATAGATAGGCAAAGAGTGTTTGTTTACAGAGCTGACATTTTGGATCCCCAAGAGAAATTGGAGGCTTTTCATCTTCCTCTCCCTTGCAACATAAATGAAGGTTGCACCAACTGAGTTTATGGCTTCACTCTGAATATGGGAAGGTAGAAACCTCCCACTAAGATATTGTGCACATCAGATCCTCTAACCAGCCTCCCCATCTCTGTACAGCCCCCTCCACCTTGTAAAACATCCCTTCACCAGATCCCGTGGGCAGTGGCTACTGTGACAGGCCCACGTAGCACATCTCTGATGAACCTGTGCTAGCCGGGAGCTGGAGAGGGTCCTAGAGCAGGTGTGGAGGCCCAGAGATTATGGGAGTGGGGCCTAGCTACCAGTGGATCACTGAGATCTGTGCATAACTTTGAGGATCCCTGGATCCTGAGTCCCCCTTTTCATTTCTCAGGGAGAAGGGAAGGGACCTCCCCTCCTGGAATGATCTCAGAGAAATTTCCTTCTACGGAGCCTTGTGGAATCTCCCTTCCCTGGCTGCACTCTGGGTTTGTAATGCAGAAAAGAGGCTGCCGAGAAATATCTGGTCCCATATTATTATTAATTATTATTATTACTATTATTATTAATAATTACGATTACTATTCTATTTTATTTCAGCAAGATCACAGCTGTGACATAGTGACCGTTAGCACTCGGCGGCCCTCGAGGTAGCCATGTGACTAATCAGAACCACAGGAACAGTGATAACTAGCCCGGATTCCAGGACTAGAGCCTTCAGCAGGGTTTGCACTGCCATCCACTTGGGTAGGATGACCACACGTACCCTGTTAATTGGCCTCCCAAAATTTGCATTGGAAATGATGGGGTTAAAACTGGTGCAAACGAAGCCAAGCAGCTGAGGTTCCCTGATGGCCAAGTGACCCCCAAGGAAATGTGTAAACATGCTTCATAAAGACACTTGCCTCCCTATCTCAACAGATACTGTCTGCTGCCCCTGCAACCTCTCCAGTGACTCCTTGTCCTTTAGGGTGAAGACCTCTGGTGAAGCTGCCTCTGGTGTCAGCATCTCCACGCCTAGCAGGAATTGGGTACGTTGGCAAGTTTCACTGTCTTTAAAATGTGAAGTGAAGGGGAAAGGCTGGAAGCTGTTTCCAGTTGCAGATGTTCTGTGCAGCGGCAGAGGATCTCAGGGTCACTCAGTGATGGGGCTGGAGGGCAGGCAGTGCTAGGTAGCTTGGGAAACTCCTCTACATCTGCCCAGGGTCAATGGTCGATTTTTCAAGCTACACAGAAATCTGAGATTCAAAGCAAGGCCAGAGTGCTAAAACCCCGATGCCCCAAGTCAGGATTTCTCAAGGGCTCCCATTTCTAGAGATGCAGTCTGCTCTGGGCCCAATCCTGCCAGAGGCTGAGCGATAGGAGACCCCACAGAATATCAGCGACTAGGTCCCAAATCGCCTCAGGTTTATTTGCTGCTGGAAATTTAATCATCAAATAAATTTTCACAGGTTTTGTTCTCTGACATGATTGTGAAGGCAGGAATTCATAGCTATGTTGCTCTGTGGTAATAGGTATGATAGGGCATATTTCTGTTTCCTGACTGGCTGTAGGATCCAGAATTTCTTCCGTGTAGAGACCCCCTCAGAGTTACAGGGCTACCCGCATCTCTGCCTCCTCTCTGGTCTCCGAATTTCAGATGTCAGGTCCTGTACCCTGCCCTCTCATGGGGTGGAATCCCAGGAGCCTCCCATCCTCCCACCCTTTGCTACAGCAGTGTCAGCTGTTAGTACTGCAGGTCTGAGAGGTTTTGACACGTGTGCTCCTTGTCTCTGGGAGTCTGTGAGCAGTGGTGAGACGAGTGACCAGTCAGACTTCTTGAACCAAAATACTGTTTAATCTGAACAGCAGGAAAAAAGACTAACATGAGAGAATAAGAGCGTTTTCAGCCAACGTCTGTGCACATCTCTGACCCCAAGCCCTCCCACTCTGATGAGGACCCAGGCAGGCCCAAGGCCGACAGACTTCCCCAGAGGTGTCTGTGTCTGTCAATCAAAAGAGCTTCTCAGCAATAGTTGCTCCACCTCTGGACAGACTCCCAGCCCTGAAAAAACAAGTTGCATAACGTGGCTGGAGCCCAGAAATAGGTTCTTCCCAGCTTGTAGCTCCGGTATTTTCTCTAAACCTTCCTGAAGTGCTGACTGAGCGGTGGCTTTTCTTGAGCTGTTGCTTCTCTTCCTGCTTGTTTTCAAGCAGCCTATGATTAAACTAAGAAGAACCAGACTGGGTTAAACCAATATAGCCATAGCATAAACATCCCAATAGTTAACCAATATAGCTATACAAGAAACATCCCAAGAACAGGGTTTAACATACACATTAATTATGGCAGCTCTGCTCCATGTCTGACCCAATGCCACTCCCAGGTGCTACATACTTTACGAATACAGGACATAGGCAGGCAGAGAGAGAGAGAGAGAGAGGGAGAGAGCAATAGACTACTTTCACATGTGAAATGAAGTTCCATTTCCATGAATACTCATGCATTTGACTTTGAAATCCATTTCCTGCAAACCCTCATGGTGCCTGAATAACAGGTGCTGGGGTTACTATGCACTAGAGAGTGAGAGCTCAGGGAATGAATATTTTATATACTGACACCAATGCTTGTTACTATTCTGGATATAGACTACCATCCTACAGAACAGAACCTGAGGAGAACTGGACACCTTTTGCATGCTAGACTTTTGTTTGCTGACAAACGATTGACTGAGGACTGAGACACTGAGATCTTTTTAGGTTCTGAAGAAATCCAGATGAGAGGTGCTACCCACTCTAACCTGAGAAATCTCTGAAAGAAGATCAGAGGAGAAAGAATGGGTTGACATGTGTATACTAGAGAATAGATTTGTAAAAGCTATGCCAAAACTTTTCATGGTAATTTATATATTACAGACCAAACTTTCATGACATGCATGTATATCAAAAGCTAGCAGCAGAGTTGTTGGAATATCTACAGGAAGGAGCAGTGGTAACTTTACTGCTTAATGACTTTTGCTTGAGAAATTATTTCAGAAATACTCTACATACTGTTTGCAATGGGTTTGTGCTATTTTCTAACAGTTTCATTAAGGGTCATGTACACAATAACTCTGCAATATTTGTGCAAGACTTTCCAATAGTCCTGAGAGACCAGAACCACTGGCCAATGTTTCAGCAAAGAGTAGAGCTGAGGTGCAGGAAAGGGGAGTGTTACCGTGGTTGTAAGTCATTTATGCCTGTCACCTCTTACATGAGCATGGCTGAAGGAACTTGCACACTTAACTGTATATTAGTGCAACACCGGTGTTTGCAGTATTCACCCATTTGAATACCCATTTGTGATGGCAACCCCTCCCCTTCCCAGCTGAAGTAACTCTGTTTTAGCTTGTAACTTTTGAGATATCTACAGACCACTGCATGGTGAGAGGATGCAGGTTCTGTGAGGATGAAGAGAAGCCTGTGGGATGGTTGAACTCTCTGGACTCAGTCAACACTGGCCATTCAAAGCACTTCAGCTTCTCTTGGAAGAGTTTTTTTTGGGTCAGAGCGTATAACTGGGAGCATTTGGTAAGGGAAATTTAATAGAGCTCGGTTCTGATTGACGTTACACATGTAAATCTGGAGCAATACTTTTGATGCCAGTGTCACTGAATTAAGAACCTGGCCCTAAAATATTATCCCAGGTACTGCAAAGAGGCAGTGGCATAATTTAAACTCTCAGGAGTGGAGAAAATTATATATATTTAAAATGAGGCATTGTATATGTTTATAAATAGCTTCAGTGCAGGACAGATAAATATAATGACAGCTTTCACCATGCTCTCGCCATATGTTTACACACATGTCAAGATAAAATGGGCCACACTTCAGAAGTGGAGGGCCAGAAAGGGTGTCTCTGTGAAGGTCACAACTTTAAAATCAAACAGCGCTCAAGTAGGCTGCGGAATTTAAAGCCACAAGGTGTCAATGGGGACAAGAGCTTAGCAGGATTCAAAGCGGGACTGGATGCATATATGGGTTACCAGAATATTTAATTACAGCAGTGAAGATTTTTTTTTAAAAAGTCTTGGAAGGGCTCATAATCTTCCTGATTTACAGCACAATATATGTCTAACTATTGGGTGTCGGGGCAGGGGGAGGGGAATTTTCCCTGGGAGCAGGTTATCACATAGCTGCCTATTGGGTAGCTTCTTCCACCTTCCTCTGCAGGATCTGGTACTGGCCACTGGATAGTGGGCTATATGGATTACAGGTCTGATTCAGTCTGGCAGTGCCTGTCTTTCTCTTGGTGCTGTAAATCCAAGACGATATTTTTTACTGATCTGCCTTGAGCTCCTGGGAGTCTCTAGACTTGCACTGAGAGCAGAAAGATGTCTTGTTAAATATCATCTAGTCTCCTGTTCTTTTTTCTTCTCAGGAAGTAAAGTTAAAAATTTCTTGGACCTGCACAGTATAGTATGTCAGCTGTCAATGACACCAAATTCACACCTGCTGTGTTCCTTCTCACCGGGATACCTGGGCAGGAAGACGTCCATCTCTGGATCTCTATCCCCTTATGCTTAATGTATGTTATTTCCATAGTAGGAAATTCAGTCATCCTGTTCATTATAAAAACAGATCCAAGCCTCCATGAGCCCATGTACATTTTCCTTTCCATGTTGGCCGTCACAGACCTTGGCTTATCGATATCCACCTTGCCGACAATACTGGGCATATACTTGTTTAACTCGAGGGAGATCAGCTTCAAAGCCTGTTTTGCCCAACTGTTCTTCATCCACTTGCTTCAATTAATTGAATCCTCCATGCTCTTGCTGATGGCCTTTGACCGCTTCGTCGCGATCTGTAACCCACTGAGACATGCCTCCATCTTAACTCTGCAGACAATAGACAATATGGGACTGGTGTTTGTGCTAAGAAGTGTGGCTGTAATATTCCCACTCCCATTTCTACTGAAAAGGTTCCGATACTGTCGAGCCAATGTCCTCTCCCATTCCTACTGCCTGCATCAAGAGGTCATGAAGGCGGCTTGTTCAGATATCACAGTGAATAACATCTATGGCTTGTTTGTTACACTCTTAACAGTGGGGTTGGACTCGCTGCTCATCTTCCTTTCTTATGTGATGATCCTCAAAACAGTGCTGAGCATCACGTCCAATGCAGAGTGCCTCAGGACCCTGAACACCTGTGTGTCCCACCTCTGCGCTGTCCTGATGTTCTATTCAGCAGAGATCGGCCTTGCTGTGATACACAGATTTGGAAAGGGCTCATCTCCCTTGCTTAAAACAGTCCTGGGCTATATCTCCCTGCTCGTCCCACCCCTGATTAATCCAATTGTGTACAGCGTGAAAAGTAGACACTTGCGTGCGGGGATAATCAGGGCATTCATCAAGTGAAGGGTCAGTTCATGAACCAGCTGCAGCGATGCTGATAAGGGAGATGATAAACACGGATCGCCTATTCCAGCCTGAAGCCTTACATCCAAGACGACATGAACTACTGATCTCCACTCTGTAGAGAGAGGTTCAGACAGGGTCTAATACCTGGAGCAATGGGAGAGGGGCTGGTGCGGGAGGACAGCACACTAGGGGAAGGAGACCAAGGCAGGCAGCAGCATTTAAAAAGTGACTGTGTTCGTGGACAGCCAGGGGACTGGTGGGATGTTGGCCCATAAAGAGCCGTATCGATGGCTGCTCCGACAGCAGAATTCCTCTCGATACAGTCAATAAAGAGAAGGGATGTGGATGCTGTTTCCCATTACACCTGGCCTGTCACTGACCCGTCTCTGGTTAAACATCCATGGGCCATGAAAAAAGGTGCAGAGCTGTTCTTTTGTCACAGTCCTTGTCCTTCCTGAGTGCGCTGGGAGCTGCCTGATCATAGAATCATAGAATATCAGGGTTGGAAGGGACCTCAGGAGGTCATCTAGTCCAGCCCCCTGCTCAAAGCAGGACCAATCCCTCACTAAATCATCCCAGCCAGGGCTATGTCAAGCCTGACCTTAAAAACTTCCAAGGAAGGAGATTCCACCACCTCCCAAGGTAATGCATTCCAGTGTTTCACCACCCTCCTAGTGAAAAAGTTTTTCCTAATATCCAACCTAAACCTCCCCCACTTCAACTTGAGACCATTACTCCTTGTTCTGTCATCTGCTACCACTGAGAACAGTCTAGAGCCATCCTCTTTGGAACCCTCTTTCAGGTAGTTGAAAGCAGCTATCAAATCCCCCCTCATTCTTCTCTTCCACAGACTAAACAATCCCAGTTCCCTCAGCCTCTCCTCATAAGTCATGTTTTCCAGTCCCATAATCATTTTTGTTGACCTCCGCTGGACTCTTTCCAATTTTTCCACATCCTTCTTGTGCCCAAAACTGGACACAGTACTCCAGATGAGGCCTCACCAATGTCGAATGGAGGGGAACGATCACATCCCTCACTCTGCTGGCAATGCCCCTACATATACATCCCAAAATGCCATTGGCCTTGATCCATGGCCGCTGCACCAGCTGTGTTCAGGGGCTATTCAAGGGGCATGGTCACTCAACCTTCCCTTCTGTTCTCAGGCAAGTGCTTATGACTGAGTCATGTCAGAGACATGATTAACACAGGAACCCCAGGAGAAGCCATTCAGACAGCCCACCCCCTCCATGCCCGTTTATGGCTCTGCATGCCGCACTCCTACAGAGTGCACCCCCATCTAACCGTAATGCCCCAGATGTGGACCACAGCTGTGTCTGTGGGAGAGGGTCTGACACACAAGTCCTGGCAAGAGACTCTGGCCCATATTCCCACCCTGTCCCCTCCGTTGGTGCTGACCCAGCAATGCAAAGGAGTGGAAACAGGCCTCAGCTCCCCATCAGAGGTACAGCTCGCTCCTATCCCAGCCCAGCCCATTCAGTGTAGGATGGCCCCCTTTTCTAAAGGTAAAAGCGGGACACAGGCAAGAGCCCCATCCACTCTGTGACCACGCCCTTCCCCCTCTTCTTCCCCCCAAATCCCATCCACTAGACAGGCCGGAAGCCAGAGCCAAGCCGTGGTAAGAGCTGCCCAGGTAGAAAGGGCCACTGTGGGGAACCCCGGACCCTCCAGCTGCCAGCGGGGGAAAGAGGAGCAGGAGCAGGGCCTTGTGGTGAGGGGGGCTAAGAACCTCCTCATCCCCCTCCCCACTGAGAAGAGGCTGGTGCCACCCATGAGTTTCAGGTAGGTACAGAGCAGCACCGCAGGGAATTCAGACTTGGCCGGAGTGATCTGTGCTCCTGGAAGCCGTTACCAACGGGCGGAAGTCAGCTTAGCCCCCAGGCTGCTCTAAACTCCACTGAGGCAGAGGGAGAACAAGCCAGAGACTCAAACCCCTGTAACTGGCTCCTGGCCATCCCTGCTTTCTGCAGCACAGAGGGAGCTCTGCTGGCACAGCAGATAATCCAGCCGGGCCTGTCAATACTGAAAGGTGAGATTCCCGCGCAGTGTCTTGATTCGAGACGATGGGGCTTTAAGAAAGACAGGAAATAGCGCAAGACTTTATAGTGCAAGTGAAATTGCAAGAGCTGGTGCAGCTGGCAGGATCTCATGCGGATCACCCACAAACACAGTCACTGAGGGTTAGTTAGTGGTCACACAGATCATCAGTTGCAGACACATTGTTTCCTTCTGCACTTGGCTGCAGAGCCTCCTGTTGTAAGGAACAGGGTTATGCCACAGACAGCCGGACATAACAGTGACGGGCTCGCAGAGTGATTGGGTTCCTGAGGCACAGCTCAGAGGGTCTCCTCCCCTAGTCAGGCATGAGACATGCACACACTCGGTAAGCAAGGTCATTCACATTCTTAATGGACCTGGGAGTGACCCAAGCCAAGCTCCACAATCCTGCTGCTAGCTCTCTATTGGACCCACACAACGCCTCCCCCAATCTAGGTACTCCCAAACTTGATGATCTTGGAAATTTGGATGCAGGGTGTGAGGTCTACCTCTAGCCCTAGAGCGGCTCTCATTGATCATGGAGCAGGTGGGGGTCAGGATCAGATCGAGGGGCAGCCCAGAAGGGCTCTGTTCAGCCAGGCAACACTCTCCAGATCCTTCACTCTCTGAAAACACGTCCTGATTCCCCCTCTTACTGCTGAGCTTCATGAGGGGCACAGAACTCCCTCATCAAAGGGGCTGTGCTGATGACAGGCCTCATCACCTAGGGGTGTTGGGAAGGGTTCAGGTTCTCCACTCAATGCCCCAAATCGCCCGTATGAGGCACACAGAGCTGAAATCCCTCTAAGGCACTTAGCTCTGTCCCCAATTATTGTAGCTTCCAAGCGCCTCACAATCTCTAACATATTTATCAGCACAACACCCCGTGCGATAGGACAGTGCTACTAACACCACTGGGCAGATCCAAAGGCTAGAAGGCACCACTGGGATCTCCAAGTCTGGCGACCTATAGAGCACAGGCCAGAGACCTCCCCCACAATAAATCCTAGGGCAGAGCTGTTACAACAACCTCCTGCCTTGATTTGACAATTGTCAGTGATGGAGAATCTGCCATGGCCCTTGGTAAATTGTTCCAATGGTTAAATACCCCCCCCCCATCCCTGCACGAGGCTGTCACCCATCACTGGAACCCTGAGGAGAGCCTTCTCAGGAGGCTGTCACCTGTTGGTGTAACCTTGCAGGGGGCCTCATGAGGAGGCCCTTGCCTGTCGCTGTAGCAGTCTTGGGGCCCTGCTGGTTGCCAGCTCTAGTGCCTTGGCCCCTGGGGTTGAAGCGAAGAATGTCATGGAGATCTCTGAAAGTCATGGATTCCGTGACTTCTAGCACCTCCCTGACATAAATGTCTTAATAATGGCCGATGGCTCTGCAATCACATCAGCCAACTGTCTCAGCACCCTCGGATGCATTAGATCCAGCCCCATGGACTTCTGCATGTCCAGCTTTTCTAAATAGTCCTTAACCTGTTCTTTCACCAGTGAGGGCTGCTCACCTCCTCCACATACTCTGCTGCCCAGTGCAGCAGTCTGGGAGCTGACCTTGTCTGTGAAGACGAAGGCAAAAAAAGCATTAAGTACTTTAGCTTTTTCCACATCATTTGTCACTAGCTTGCCTCCCCCATTCAGTAAGGGTCCCACACTTTCCCTGATCTTCTTTTTGTTGCTAACATACATGTAGAGACCTTCTTACTATCCTTCACATCCCTTGCTAGCTGCAACTCCAATTGTGCTTTGGCCTTCCTGATTACACGCCTGCATGCTCGAGCAATATTTTTATACTCCTCCTTATTCATCTGTCCAAATTTCCACTTCTTGTAAGCTTCCTTTTTGTGTTTAAGCTCACCAAAGATTGAGCTGTTAAGCCAAGCTGGTCGCCTGCCATCTTTGCTATTCTTTCTGCACATCAGGACGGTTTATTTCTATGCCCTCATTAACGCTTTAAAATACAACCCACTTCCCCACTTACCTCAGGGCTTAGGTCTCCATCCTAATGTGAACCTAATTTAAAGCTGTCCTCACTATGTTAGCCAGCCTTCCCTCTCTCTGGTAGGTGGATCCCATCTCTTCCTGGCAATGCTTCTTCCTGGAACAACATCCCATGGTCGAAGGATCCAAAGCCCTCTCTCTGACACCACATGTGTGACCACACATTTATTTCTACAGTTCATTAGTCCCTACCTGCCCTTTTCCTTCAATAGGGAGGATGGATGAAAACACCACTTTGCATCACAAACTCCTTTATCCTTCTTCCTAGAGCCATATAGTCTGCAGTGACCTGCTCAAGGTCATTCTTGACAGTATCATTGGTGCCCATGTGGAGAAGTAGGAAGGGGTAGCAATCTGAGGGCTTGATCAGTCTTGGCAGACACTCCATCACATCCTGAATTCTACGTTGTTAAGGAAAAGTTAGCACATGTGACTCCATTTTGGTTTGGGGCCCACCATTGTTTAAATGCCAGCGCATCATACACCAGGAGGAGTGATCCTTAGATACTGAATCCCTGTGAAAATCCTCCTCCTTGTCTCCAGCCTGCCTTGACTCCCAGTATCTGGTTTTTGTCAGTCTCTAATTCCTTGTCTCTTGGCCTTGATGTGAGGCCTCCCATCCTGATAATAAAGGTTACTGATGCATGGCTTTAGGACCATGCTGTGTAATTAACATACTGGTATAGCACGAAGAATGCACCAAGCAGGAATCGGTGGTAGATAAGACAAGGGTTTGTTTATTGACTAAGGTTTCCGATGCACAAGAGCAACATGCTTTGCTAAAAAGTATATAACCTTTGTATAATCTGTATTCAGGGTCCCCTCCTGGCTAGCAGGGGGGCACCACGCTCGACCGTAATAAACTTAGTGTCTTTTGGGAACTCTGCAGTTGTGGACTTTGTTTATGTGCCTCAGCCTAGATTCGAACTGTGCGTGTCC